CTTTTGTGAGGGGGAAAAATATTTTTGACATAATGATGAACTCTGCATTTGTTGATGATAACTAATTTCACTTTTTTTCAGCAGAAATGATCAGTAATAACAGAGATACAGTGGAATCTTGATAAAGTCAACTTGCTAAAGTCAACTCTTGGTTACAGTCAACACCTCACTGTAGTCCCGTTCCTTACCTTCTTTGTTAAAGTAATTGTGTTTCTGATACAAGCTTGAGTGTTAAACTTACCCGGTACGTAAAGTCAACAATTTGGGGCTAAATCCTAAGATGAATTCCATTCAAGAAGAGATATTTCGTCTGAGCAAGTGGTGTACACACCTGCAATTACATATGTACTTTGTTCTTTCATTATCTCTTGTTTTGGTGACAACTTCAGAATTATACTCCCTGAAATTGAGATTACATCTTGTTTATTACCAGGTACTTTGTAATTTTGTAGCTGTCATCTTCAATTTTCAATGGCCAGTAGTACAATGGATAAAGTCAACCATGCTCAAAGTCAACACTTTTTTTCTTTCCGGGGAGTTGATTTTATCAGAATTCCACTGTAACCTGTTTTTTTTTTTTTTAATAAAGCGCTTTTGTCATAGACATGAGTCTCAATTTTTTCCCTTTTATTAGCAAGAAAGCGTGTGTATGCAATATTTTCCTTGAATGATTTACTCCAATTGTGAGGCAGCGTGGTGAAATCAAGCGCTCGTCAAAATAATGAAAGTGAAAAAAACTGGCATTTTTCCACAGGTTTGGGAACTTTTATTGAATTTTTTTTTCGCGCTAAACAACTTTTAACAAATTTTGGGATTTTTCAGTTTTAAAGGCTCTCAAGCTATTGAAGTTATCAAACTTTGGCGGCCGTTTTCTCACTAAATTTACCTCTGAAATCAAGTGACCCCACCTCTTTCAATCACAAATATTTCGACTTCTATTCAGCATAGATGAATATTGTTTTCATCAAAAGGAAGGCAAATAGACAGGCTTTAAGATGATATCAATAACTCAGTACACCTCAAAATCAAAACTGACGAGCGTTTGATCCCACCATGTCGTGACACCTATTCTTTTTTAGTGCATGTGCATGTATGTCATGTGTGTACGCATGTTTTTCATGAATATTATGCAATGCACATAGAGCAACGATTGTTTTACGGATTTGCGCGATATATATGTCATATTATTTTTATCATTATAAGCGAATGTAAGAAAAGTGTAAGAAAGGGGGGCGGGTGTCAAAAAGTCCTCAAAAAAGGTGTAAGATTATATTTGAACAGCCCCATATCACACAAGAATCTTACTCGAGGCGGCGACTCTTGAGTTGTGAATGAAAACAAATCCGGAATTCATATTGTATGTTCAACCGCCAAAATAATCAGGAAAGTATCTTATCAAATATCAGTTCCAACTAAAATCAAATTTAACTTTAGATCTGAATACATAAACACAAAGCAAAGAAACAGAGATGGCAGTACTAGATCTATATGTTATAGATCTACCAGTGAGTCTAACTCTTTGGTAGAGCATGACAATTATTATTTTTTTTAATTTCACATTTGGCTGTTTTTGTTAGCCTTTCACGGCCAGGAGCTGGTGTCATAATCGAGGTCACGATCTGATTATAAGACGGCAAAAAGTCGAGGAAAAAAAACAAGCACATGCAGCAGTCAAGATATTATTAGGAGTTAGTTCCGCTTCACATTTGTGAGGTAGACTCGACCAGTGTTAGTTAGCTTACATAATCAGGGCTTGTGATTGATTATAACTGTGGCCCCAAAGGGGTGAACAGGGTATATATGGCAATGAAACAGCTTTGACTGCTATACACATGTTCCCTTCAACTCTATTGGTAGACTTTTCCAGCCTCACTTTAAGCTTACTTAATCAAAGCTTGCGACTGCTTATGGAGTGGCCCGAGAGGGGGGAGGAGGCTATTTCTGTGGCCGTGAAACCGTTTAGAATGTTAGGCATACTGTTCATTGTTGATTACGAACGTCTTTTTACCTTTAATCTAAGAGGTTTACGTTAAAGGATGAATTTGACAGCGACAATGTTTCAAAATTAGGACGGGAAGCAGTGATTATTTGATTATATAGACGCTTCGCCCATGAGGGGGATATAGTGGGAGAGAGAGACCGATGGGGTGAGAGAGAAAAGAGAAAAAGGAGAGACAGACAGGCAGACAGTCGAACGGACAAAAAGACATGCAGTTAAGAAAGAAGACTGATACTGATAGATAGATAGACAGATATATAGATAGACAGCAGATAGATAGATAGATAGATAGATAGATAGATAGATAGATAGATAGATAGATAGATAGATAGATAGGCAGATAGATGTACAATAGCCTGGGTTTTACACAAGGGAGAGGAAGGTTTAACGGGGAAAATGTCAGGCATTTTGTTTCGATCGCCATAATCTCTTGGTCTTCTCCCGTAACAAGGACGAAAAGATTAGTCCTAGGCCCAGATTTTGGCAACAACAGAAAGAAAATCCAAGTGCGTTGAAAAGGGGCAAGAGGAAAGCCTTAAAGAAATAGGTTTGTCCCTTTATTCGTGATAATTAATCTTTGGGGACATAATATTAATGACATTTTCAGTATACGTTTTTGTTTAGAGAGAGGAAAAACGCTTGAAAAATCTAAAGTGCGTGTGGATGGACAGTGGGGAAAGGTCAAAAAAGGGGGGCGCGGGGGGGGGGGGGGGGGGGGGGGGGGGGCGAGATAGGTCCAAACTGAGTCAGAGCAGAAACCGAGTGTCGACAGCACTGTCGACGAGGATGTCGTTGTTGTAGACGTTATTGATGGTGATGTTGCTGTTGTTTTTGTAGTTGCTGCAGCTGTTGTTGTTTTCGGGAAAGTGGTGATGGTGGGTGAAGAGTGGGTACCGATGACAATGAGTGGTATTACGTATTGGCGATAATTTGATTCTTTTGAGAGGGAATTCCACATATGCGGGGCATAGGAAAAAATATTTTTAACCCATCTTCTAAACTTAACTGTGGGCACTCTTTCTTACTCCTCTACCCCCATCATCTCCCTCTTTGTCCTCTTCCCCTCTTTCGCTATCTTGCTCTCTTTCTTGGCACCTCAAGGTTTGTCCACAAACCTTCACAAACGTTCTCAGAAAACAGCAGAATATCTACGCCAAAACAGAAACACCTTTCTTGGAATTCCCGCGTGGCCATCAAAGTGGTATTATTATACCGACCTTGCAGATAGTATCATGTAAAGCTTCTTCTAACCATGTCAAACATCAGAGTCACTAAAGGTTCATTCATACGTAACAGTCGTCCCGTTTCTGCATTTCGTTATCCCTACTTTTATTATTGTAATATTATTCATGATGATGACCAAAAAAATATTGATTATAACAATAATAATAATAATAATATTAATAATAATAATAATAATAATAATAATAATAATAATAATAATAGTAATAATAATTATAATAATAATAATAATAATAATAATGGTAATAATAATAATGATGATGTTGATGGTAAAATAATAATAATAATAATAATAATAATAATAATAATAATAATAATAATAATAATAATAATAATAATAATAATAATAATACTGTTACAAGCGGAAAAAAGAATTGTCCTTCCACTGCAGATCTCACAATTAGCCCCTCCCCCGCCCCCCTCCCTTTTTTTTTAAAGCACAGTCA